GGTGTTAACACCTTCCCTTTTCATAACCTACCCCCGAACTCGAGAAAATTCTCAAAAGGTCTTTCCTGTTCTTTTCACCCTTTCCTTTATTGGATAAAAGAAAAGTCGGTGGCGACCCTTGCTATCCGCAACATTTGCGATAAAACGCAAAACACCCGAGTCACTTCTCCCACTGTATTACACACCAGTATAAATAATAGCAACCAATTCAACATTGTTAATAAAAAAGTACCACAAATCAAGTTGTCCTTCTTGGAATCCTCTGATCCACTCAAGGCGAACACTCTACCATTGGTCTGGGAAGCTGCGTCCCTCTTCGACTTCTGACATTGGGTGCTGAAATGACCCTGCTCTCCATAATTGAAACATGTTGGACCATCATTCTTGCATTCAAGAGCATGATGACCCATCTTACAACATTTGTAACACATGACCACCTTAATCACACATTCATTAGAACGGTGACCTTGTTCACCACACCTATAACACTTGACAAAAGCGGGAGCTCCTCCCTCACTTGTCTTCTTCCTATTATAAGCCTCATGCTTCCCTTTATCAGTTGGGGAATCATAAGGCTTCTCACGATCTTGATACTGCTTTCCTCTTCTCTCATTCCAACTCTTGTAGTGAGCTGAATGAGCTTTGCTATCTTTTTCATAGATCCTACAGCTGCTCACCAACTCTGAAAACACACGGATTTGCTGATATCCAATTGTCTGTTTGATTTCTAGACGCAAACCATTCTCAAATTTGATACACTTTGAGAACTCAGTAGTTGCATCACTGTAATATAGATAATACTTTTCCAGTTCCACAAACTCCGAAGCATACCCAGTCATAGTCAAGTTCCTTTATTTCAACTCCAGAAACTCAATCTCTTTCTTCCTGCACACATGCTCAGGAAAGTACTTCCTCAGAAACTCCCTACTGAACATAGCCCAAGTAAAAACATCACCTGCCGCTGTCAGTCTCTGATGGGTGCCAACCCACCAATCATTGGCTTCCTCGGCCAGTTGATGCATATTGAATTGCACCTTCTGCGCCTCTGAGCAATCCATGACTCGAAATATCCTGTCAATCTCCTTGAGCCAAGTTTATGTTCCATCAGGCTCGTATCTACCTTTGAAAACATGCGGATGATTCCTTTGAAAAATCTCCAAAACACGAGATCCATGATTCACGCCAGCATTAAGCTGATGTTGCACAGCCTAGGAAACAACCAGCAAAGCATCAGTAAGTGCAGTATCGTTCCTTCCAGCCATTCTACACACAAAAAACTAACGTCAGAATCAACACATCGACAATGTACTTACACTAATCTACTGACAGGACATATATATCATAAGAAAACCTGGTCGGACAGATCGACCTGCTTTGATACCACTAATGTAACACCCTTCAAAACCCACATATATTTTGCATATAATTTTACGAAAATAAAAAAATAGAATCACCAACAAGGGTGTCACATCTTCATACAAACGTCATATAAAACATCCTACTCTGTAACACGGGTTTTAAAAATTAATTATGACAAATACTTCATTAATGACATGTCACTTCAACTTCTCGTAGCGGAAATCATAGTTTCAAAACACTTTATTAAAAATACTTCATAGAATCCTTATCATACTGCCTCACCTATGATTAACAACCCAATTATAACAAATACCATGAAAGGTAGTTTAAAGCTTCAAATTAAACAAAATGACACAATAATTCAAAACAAATGATCCCATCCCCGATGTTACATATCAGAGCAAGGCTCTTTTATTCTACAAGAAATAAAGAACACACTCTGCAACTATGCTCTAAGCTTTGGTGAACTATTCTTGATTACGTGCAAGTTACCCACGTATAGAGGAAACATTTCCTAGCAGCAAGAGTGAGTAAATCATAATCACTATAAAAGACATAAGGAATAAATATAGTAGTTAAAATACAACACCAAAGAAACACACCATCGAAACATCATGTCATACTCCCACCTTCAATCATCATAATACACATAGACACGTGGTAATAACATTCAATAGAAATTAACACAAACATGTATTCACAAAACATCAGTCAATCAAATTATCATGCAATGCCACATATAATACAATGCAACTTCTTTATATTCTTGCATGTGGTACCAAAACTTCACTGATGACACCGTCATCATTTTCTCCAAAGATCCCCACCAATAGGATCGATTCCCATTGGAATCGGAGCACATCACAAACTTCACTCAAATCCACACTATGGGATTGATGCCATCACTAGACTAATCGTCTTGGAACTTCACTAGACCGAAATCCGAACAACATCATTGGACAAAAGTCTTACTCTTATGACATGAATGTGTGATGCGAAACATCTTTATAATCAAATGAAAGCTACTAGTCAAAGAGCATCATCATTCATATAATCATCATAATATCAACACATACATCATAACACGAAATAACATCATAATAGCAACAACGGCTAATTATATACACATACATCTTACTAAAACAATCTCTGAATCATCTTATTCATCAAAATATATGTACTGGAATTATTCTTCATATTAATCATTTTACCCACCTAGTCATAGGTCATTGCGTTAGCTATCCAATGCTTCAAACGACACCTCAAACAGAGTTCTAAAACTCAAGTTATGGCACTTTTAAAAATTCTACTACTATCCATCGGCGAAGTGAGAGCGACAACTCACCAATTCTTCTCTGGCCTCCATCGCCCAGTGACACATCTTGCTTGCCTGGAGACGCACTTCTCGCTCTTGCACCATCCGGCGACTAAGCAAGCGACAGACTCTAGTAGCTCCACATTTATGCCCATTCCTTCGCTTCCAATCTCGCCCGGCGACGACCAGGCAATGGCATCATCGCCCGACGATGATTCTTATCGCCCGATAATCATGCACGAACATGGCTTCCCTGTTGCGATTCTGCACTGTAACAATTCGATTTTTACATGATTCCATCATATTACAGGTCTCAAATTATCATAATTTCACTTGGTTTCATCATATAACAACAACACAATTTACCATACATCATATGCCTCAACTCTTTGCAAGAAGACAACATAATTTCACCAATTTATCATTAAACATCATATTACCATCATAAAATAAAAAAAACCTACAGTTATATAAATCTTAGATCAATTATAATAACAACGATAAACCCCCTTACCTTAGATTCCTAGCATGTGATCTTCTTCTTCGTGTTTCTACAGTGTTTTCTCCAAAATCCTTGTGCCATAGCCTCCTCTATGTTTTCTCCCAATTCTCTCATAAGCGTACAATGAACACTCTATTCCTTCTTTAACCTTTGGACCCCTAATATTGTTGCCTAAATTGCCCTCACTTAGCCTTCCCATATTACCAACTTGTCCTTGTAGTCTCTACATCATATTTTGTTTCTATTTGTTTAATTAAAATAATTTCAATTAATCATTCTAATTATCTAAAATGTTCTAAAATACACTATATCTTCTTAATTCCTACCACCCCAATATTGTAACCGGTTTTAAATTTGAGAGTCGCCACTCTTGATTTTTATACTAAGGAAGGGAATATAAAGGATAACCCTAAAAGTTAGAGATTCTAGGTTTTTTGGACTCGGTTCTAGACGAAGGGAAGGTGTTAGGCACCCCTCATCCACCTTGTTCACGAGGATACTAGGGTTAGAATCACGATCTTAGGAAATATGGTTTTAATTTTCATTAGGGGAACTCGCAACGGTTTTAGTCGTATGCCTACGTATCCTCTGATGAGGAATCAGAGTCCCAGTTCGTAGTTCACAGTTTGGTTGGTGTTTTTTATAGGATTGTGTAGAATTGCTTTCAAATTTATCCTTGAACCTTGTCTGGATTGAAAATTGTGTGATCATAGACGCAGTTTGCAGTTTGATTCAAAGACAATGCTATTTAATCCTTTTTTTTAAAATAATCTTGTAGCTTTTGTTATCTTAGTAAAAAAAATAATTTGAATTGTTGGTTAGCTTTTTTAAGTTGATTGATCAAGTATGGTATGGTTGAGAGCGAGGGAATTCTGATATAGTCTTTTCATCATGTGGCCAGATATTGGCCATGTGTCGCTCGCGGCTGAAATATTTGAGTTGCCTGGATTTTAATATTTTTTGATTTTAAATAATAAACTGGTAGACGATGTGTCGACTCATTTAATTATTCAAAGATAGACATCCCATTATTTGTGAAATGTTTGAATTAATTAGATAAAAAAAAATTTGAAATTAAGCCCAAATTAATTAATTTGTCTAAAACTAAAATTATATTTCTTAATATTTTATAGTCTTAATGTTTTTTTGTATTTCTTTATATTGATTTTTTTTTTATAAAATAAACGTCCTAATTACAATTAGTTAGTTAATTAAAACTAATCAAATAACATGGCCTAATGGCTAAATTGACTAATTTAATTTAACTAAAAAATTTACCAACAAATTAAGTGAAGTAATTAAATAAATTAAACTAACAACAAAGAGGATGCAAATGAAAATAAAAGATGATGTACTAATAGTTATAAAATAAAAGCCTAAAATTACACAAAAACCTTGATACACATACAATAAATAATAATGATAAGGAATGAATAAAATTGAAGAAGAAAGAAAAGAAAACCATCACGTTAGTACGTTACAGGAAGTTATTGGAAGTTAAAAAATTTATTTTGCTTTTCCAAATTATCTCCAATCAATCTACTCTTGACAAGTGGTATGGTAGTTGATAAAAAAAAAACAAAAAAATTAAGAAAAACTCATATTAAGGAAAATACAACATAGCATTATAACTCATGATCTTTCTTCTCTTTCTCAACCATAATATTTACTTTATAACTTCATCTTGCTTCTTTCATTCAAATCACAGTAAACAAAGAATAGAGACAAAATTAAAAGCAATATTCAAACCCATTCTTTCTCAGTTATAATGCATAATTCAACAACAAATTACATCGAGAATCAAACGGAAAAACATATCGGATGTCATCGGGTTGCACGGAGAGACGACTTTGGTGATGTTGGTTGCATAAAGGTAACAGTTGTTGTGTTGTTCACAATGGCTCGCAGTTGTGGGTCGCGAATGTCATGAGCGGTATCCGGCAGACTGGGGTGGTTGGCTGTCACGGGATCGGAGGATGGCTGACGGTGAACGACAGAGGATGTCGCCATTGTGCGAGGAGCCATGCGCGGTTTGGATGTCCCGTAAAGGTGGTTCACGAATGCGTGATAAACGTTGATGGCTTCTCCATCGGAGATCGCCGGCGAAGGGGTCTTGTTGTTGTTTAGTCTTTTTTCTGCTTTTTCAGTTTTTTCTGTAGAGTAAAACATAACAGCAACATAGAAAACAACAATTTGAAAGTGATTTCTTTGGGTTGTGATTTATAATGATAAGGTTGTGTTCCTGTCAGTTTCGAATCCGTTTTGTTATAAATTGTTCCTGCAACTATGTTTCTGTTATTACTTGTTTGCCTTGAATTTGAGTTAAGAACACCTAGTATATGTTCATGGTTGGATTTTAGAAACTTTGGTATCTGTTAAAAAGCGACGGAGAATTTATATGTTCAAAACGATTTCAGTGTTGTCCATATGTGAAATAAAGGTTTATACTATATCTGCAAAAACATATACATGAGTTTTATATAATATCATGAATGCATAAATTGTTAACAAGCTAATTAGTGAAAATTTGGCAATGCAATTGAAGAGGAAGAAAGCTACTTTCATGGCTAAGAAGAAAAGTTTTTTATTAATGACATTTTTTGAATAGATTCTAAAGGTTTTGTAATAACTATGTTAGGGTAGATGATATGGATTAAAACATAAGTTCTTGAAACACCATTAGAAAAACTTGTAAATTATTAGTAAAAATAAAAGAAATAATTAATATAAATTAGTAACGTGAATTGGTGTATGAGTGTGATTGTTAGCAAGTAAAAAAAAAGAAAAAATACTATAAGATATATCAACATATTAAATTGGAAAGTAAGAAAACATTCACTACGTCAAAAAAACCTACGAAAGCGCTCTTTTTGGCCTTTAAAAGTGTTTAAAAGCGCTTTCTAAGGTGGCGCTGCTATAGGTTTTAGCAGCGCTTTTTGTTTTATGAAAAGCGCTTTCGTAGGTCTACTTATGACAGCTTTTTCTAAAAAGCACTCTCTTAAGTACCCTTATGGCAGCGCTTTTTCTAAAAAGCGCTCTCTTAAGTATCCTTATGGCAGCGCTTTTTCTAAAAAGCGCTCTCTTAAGTAGGCTTTTGGCAGCGCTTTTTCTAAAAAGCGCTCTCTTAAGTAGGCTTTTGGCAGCGCTTTTTTATGAAGAAACGCTTTCATTGGTGGCGTTTTTTTCTGGAAAAGAGCTTTCATAGGTTGTCTTTTAGCAGCGCTTTTTCTTGGAAAAGCGCTGTCATATGTTTACCTTAGACAGCGCTTTATGTGAAAAAGCGCTGTCATAGGTCTCCCTATGAAAGCGCTTTTCACCAAAAAGCGCTTTCATAAGGTGTTTTTTTTAGAGGTATAATTTATATAATTCATATACATGCATTGTTTCCAGCATATTATTTATATAAACCAGTTGCCATAACCTGTAATTCATAAATAGCGGTAATGCATTGTAATCCAAAATATATATACACCATTTTTGTATCTCAAATTATATATAAACCATTGTTATCAGTATTGTAACTCAAAATCAGTCTTACAAAATCAACCATAACAACAACTAAACCAGTCCTTATATGATTCTCTGCTCAATAAAATATTGACACAACTCCTCTTTGGTTTCTTCCAACTGAAGTTTCGTGTAATATGCACATTTGTACTCATCGAAGTACTACATAACAAAACATAATATGCATGATTTAGTTAAAAGTAAAAAATTATATGAAATATCCGAGAAATAATAAAACAAATCCTAAGTTATAAATTTATATCGTGACTGGAATCTCTATTTGATTCAGTTGAATGATTTCTTTGATAAACCGCATAACGAAGTATCCGCAATCTATACCGTTTTGCTGTTGAGGATACTACATAGAAAAACAAATAAGAATATATAGTTGTATTGTTTTATCAAATAGCGTAAATATTATAAGCAAAATAGTGGAAATTAATATACCTGCACTTTGATCCAATTAATGTTGTTTGATTTAGACCGTCGTACCCGAGCTTGTCTTTGACACCGGAATACTTGTATCGCTCTAACAAAATAAAAATATATATTTAGAACAATGTCACAGAAATAATTAAATACATAAATACACACAAATATTTAGAATAATCTCACTTACGTATCAATCATTAACTTCATATCCGGATAATTTGTCCAATCACCGTCAACCGAATTCAGATAATAGACCACTTCTTTTATAGGATCGATAGCAACCAACAACCAGTGACGTCTATAAATTAAAACAACAGTTTAGAAGAAATTTTTCTACGCAAAAATTACAAATATTAAAATGAACTTAGAATGAAAATCTAACCCTGTAGGAATAGTATTATACGCCCAAAGATATAAGCTTTCTGTACTGCCAGTTGCCATGAATCTTTCGACTAAGTGCTCTCTTACTGATTCCGGTTCGCTACCAATTGTCGCTCCGCTGACACGGGAGGAAGACACAAAATGGAATCTGTTTGACAATTGATTCCCGCGCATCAATTTGTCATATAACAGCCTTAAATAAAAACATAATTAATATTAGAGTATATTCATTGAAAATATTTAAAAAAGATTTCAGCTAATTACATAATATAAAGATGGGGTTACCGGATGTATGCGTGCATAATACTGACGCCCAATTATTTATGACGGAAAATTTGTTCCACGTCCTCATGTCCAATTATTTTGGTGCAAGGAAAACCAAAGATACCTTGATCCATATCCATTTGACGAATACCACCATCCATCAAATTTGTTGTTCCCACTATTGTTTCAAGACACTGCCGGTATCGAGGGAAAAATCTAGTAGGCACCCTTTTCTTGGGTGGTACGCCAACGATTTTCTGGCTCACTTGTATTGACCCATGAAAAGGTACCTAAAAATCATATAAACTCAGTTAAATTATAAAATTATGCAGTTTCTTATTCGGATCATATAATTAACACTTTAAACGTACCTCTTTTGGTGATACGTCAGACTCGTCGTGCCGCAAAATCCCTTTACCCTTAGATGCGGGTGTTGTAGGAGTCTATAATTACCGTGGAAATAACTGAGGTCAGAACTGACAGTTGAAGACTTAAAGATTCATAATTGTTTTCAACATACCTGATCATCTATGAAAATGAGGTCTGATGGCCATGCAACAAAAGATCCTATTGCATCTCGCAGCAATGTGGTCTCAGCAACAATGTCAGGTACCGGCAGTAACGCATCCATATCTAAAGCAATGTCAACCGATACTTTCATGTGTCCATCCGGAAGCGGTCTATTATGAAGTAAATCTCCCGAAGTGTTATGGACTTTTCCCTTGCCAACTAGTCGATAAGTCGGTGAAGATAGGTATAGCTGGCAAGATGAAATGCCCTAAACCAATAATAACCGTTAGAAGTGACTAAAAATATTCTATAATAATAACGGATATATATTGAAAATTACCTCGGGAAATTTATGCTGACAGTTGATACTAGCTTTGTCACTAGTTTCTTTCAATTGTGAACTGCTCTTTTCCGCCATATATCTCTCTTTATCCTTCTGCAATTCGCGGACTTGAGCTTGTAAATCCTGCAATGTTTGCATCACTTCTGCATTGCTAGGATTTCTTCTCCTTGGATGCTTATACAAAGAGGTTGGAGTCACACCATGACCTTTACCCCTCACCCGACCCGGATACTCAGCAATATTTAGTGCTCGACTAAGTACGCTCCTGGTATCCTGATGATCCTCACCTGGGGATACCGATTGCGACAAGGTCTCATGTAATTCAATTACATATAAAAAATTATTAGTGGAGATAAAAAATTACTTAAATATTAATAAACATTAATTGATTTAACTAAAGACACAATCTTATACTTACACATTCATCATACACATGTTGAATATCGGGATTAACAGCTTGATCCTTGCCCACACGGGCTTCCTTCCACAACAAATGTGCCGGTAGTGAAGTTGCGTCACTTTTCGTCTCTTCTAACTACGCAATGACGGAAGTCTTAAGATCATCAACTATAACACATTGAGAGAATTAATAAGATCGTAGAGTTTATATTTACTTACAATTTTTTCCTCTAAGCGAGCATATCCCAAACGCCCTTTTTTGTATGGATATGCGGGTTTTGACGCTCTCTCGCGATTGATAGCACTCACTTTCTTGAAATTCTCGTCTCTTCTTTGGCCTACAAAACCAACCCATTCTTCAGGTGTAATGAAGTTCTCATATTTCTTTGGAAGTTCCGGATCCTCTTCAAGAAAATTTCCTTCATCATCTTTAAGATACTTGTTTGATAAAAATGTTCTCCACCCTCTGTGTCTTTTTCCAGCCAAACCCATTATATACTTTTTACGGGTATCTTCAATGTTAAAAGACCTCTACAAAAAAACATACGCATAAAGTGTGTTAGTAAAAGAAATTTAAACACATATTATCGTCAAGATAAAGCAAATAACAAAAACCATATATGTACCTTTATCTCAGTCCAAACTTTCTCTTTAGCCTCATTCAACTCTCCTCTTTTCCATCTAGGAGTGGTGATCGAAATGTGTATACGAACAAGCGTACCAATGTAGCTTGTCAACTTTGCAGCATTAGACCCAATTAATTGGTCATTATCATTCCAATCTACATTATATGTTACTCCTCTATCTCTATCACGGATGATTCCCCTCATAATAGTTATACCTCGTGTAATATCTTTTTCTGAAGTATTTTCTGAAGTATTTTCTGGAGTATTTTCAGGAGCATTTTCAGGAGCATTTGCATCTTTTGAGTTTTCTTGATTACTAGCCATTTGACCTGTAATAATGAAAAAAAATAAAAATGAAATGACAACTAAAAATGAAATGGCAAATAAAAATGAAATGACAAATAAAAATGAAATGGAAAATAAAAATGAAATGACAAAATATAAAAATGAAATGATAAATAAAAATGATATGGCAAATTAAAATGAAATGACAAATATAAATTAAATGGCAAATAAAAATGAAATGACAAATATAAAAATGAAATGACAAATAAAAATGAAATGGCAAATTAAAATGAAATGACAAATATAAAAATGAAATGACAAATAAAAATGAAGTGACAAATAAAAATGAAATGACAAATTAAATTTTATTGAATGATATAGGCTATAATTATATATACTATTACCCTTTTCACTAAGGTCTC